TCCCCATTTTCTTGATATTGTTCACGAATAGTACTATAATATGCAACCAACAAAGATACACAGAACATACATGTCTACACTTTGCCTGCTCTGCCTGCACTGGAGTATGCTGGTCTGGATGAAGCATTCCTGAGGGGCCAATGGTGAATGCAATTATGTATGATACACATCAGTAAATAGCAGTATTACCTAGTTAAACTTAATTCAAGGTAGGTTTTCAAATGACCATTTTCTGCTGCTGACTTAGTACAGTGTCAGGTACACAGCTGAAGTGACTTTGAAAGATCTGATATTTTCATGAAATCTTCATAAATTTCCATGACTTTTGGTGCATAATGTTTGTATGTATGTATGAGGTACAGTATGATAATTTGATACATGTATATAGTATGTAATATCAAAGCAAACTAGCAGTTCCAGCTCATGAAATAATTTTATATATATATTGATATGAACTGAAGTTTAGTTTTAATAATTTTTTAGATGGTGCTGGGGATCACACCCAGGGATACTCTGTCATTTATTTTGAGACAGTACCTCTATGAATTGTCCAGCTCCAACTTTTAGTCAGCCTGCTTCAGCCTCCCAGAGTGCTAGGACTAGAGACACGCATCATCATGCTAGGGGCCTTAACAATTGGTAACACCAGTCTTTTGTGCTCTAGATAACTGTTGTTTGTGTTAGTGAATGATTAAGATATATAAGTGTGTCTTTCTATGTAAATGCTTTTTAGTTAATAGGAGAACTATTTTACAATTAGCATGGAAGTGAAAGTAATATATTGTGGTTTCTATATTTTCAGGTCCTGCATCTCACATTTACATTCTTCCGATTAGAACAGGAGACTGATTGCCCAAATGAGTTTCTTCAGATTCATGATGGAGATTCCTTGGCAGATTTTCCACTTGGAAGATTCTGTGGCAACAGAGCCCCTCAGAATCTTCGGAGTAGTGACAATGCGCTCTACCTTCGTTTCTATTCTGACTATTTCAGAAGAGGTAGAGGCTTTACAGTACGATGGGAAACGCAGCAACCAGGTATGTTTAGCCTTAGAGAAAAGCAAAGCAAAACTGATCAATATTAGACTGGTGGAAATATGACAAGTTTTGAGGCCCATACATGGATGATATTTTTATAATTATTTGAGAACCAAATAAATCTAAAATGAGTTAGATTTTATTTTGTATCTGAAGATAATAAAATTAGAATGGGTTGGAGAGGATTAGAATACAGAAATCTTATCGGGTCCCTTATGAAATTCCTGAACAATACTTTTATAAGCGTTTCTTGTGAGTTCACTGCCAAGATGTCACGAGGTATGGCCCACATATTCCGTATCTTAATGATGACTCGCAAACTTCTTCTGCTGTTATTATTTTGTTTTTGATACTCTACTTTTTAAACTTGCAACTATGAACTTTTAAAACACACAAAATAAGAATGAACCATAAGCTGGCCCCCAATTCATTATTCATTTAATTTTGTTTTTGGCTTTGTTGGCCAAGAATTTGGAAAGGGCCTGCATGACAGATATTACTAGAAATATGTCAGTTACTGATGATCAGATGTGAGCTGGGACCACTGGCATCAAAAGGATCACGGGGCTGGACATTCAAGACATCTTGCTTGGGCTGGGGCAGAGAACGATAGCAGCATACTTGTCTGCCATGTACAAGGCTCCGGTTTTAATCCCCAGCACTGCAAACAAAGCAAAATGAAACAGAACAAAACAGAAACTCTTGCTTATGTAACTGACAATCCGTACCCTACCCCTCAGTCTTGGGATTACAGCCAGGGTCTCCTGCATGATAGATATCCTTTCTATCACTGAGTCATACACCCTTCCCTCATACCAGCTTTTGGATGAGAGCTCATCAGTCTTTGGATTTGAGTTTTAAATATTCTTTCTTTAATAAGGTGGCCTTGAAGTAGGGGTATTTCTTTTGTAATAATTGGCTTCCATGAGTTAGCAGTGTGACAAAGCTAGACAGATTCTGATGGGCTTTTTGATCTGCCCTTGAAAACCACATTACGTTATGTTTATCATACTTAATTGATTGAATTAATCACAAGCCAATGAAATTCAAGAAGAGGAACACATACCCCCACGTGTCCCTGGAAGAAGTATCAGACTTTCTAAATGTTTTGAAATCGCTGCCTCTTTTATCCTTATTTTTCCAAGAATATTTCAAAAAATAAGTGGGTATTGAATTTTATATAATAATCTGTCTGAGTCTTTTAGAATGATTATTTCACGTTATTGACAAGATATACTTTGTAATTGTGAATTATATTAACTGATTTTGAATTGATTCCTTTGGAATTGCCATTTCACTTTACTGTTTATGAGTATATGTTTTTGATACATCTAGATCAATTTTTATTCCCCTTTTCCCCATTCCCTCCTCTCTTCCCTTTTCCAAGATTCTTTTTCTATCTCTATAAAGTCTACTTTTCTGTTTCCTACCATACCAGGTTTTATTTTCCTCTTTATTTTAAATTTTGATTCTTATGTAAGATAAATCATTTGATATTTACCTTTATTTGGTTAACTTTACTTAGCATTGTGGTTTAAAGATCTAGTCACTTGTCTAAAGATGACTCAGATTTATCCTTTTTATGGCTGAGTGGTACTCCATTGTGTGCTTATACACACTTCCTTTATTCACTCATCTGCTGGTAGATGTGTGGGCTGCCTCCGTGACTCAGCAATTATGAACTGTGCTGCTGTAACTGTAAGTTGGCATGTCTGGATCTCTGCTGACCTTGACTCTTAAGAACAGACCCAGGAAGAGTACAACTGTGTTAAGCAGAATTTCTATTTGTAGTTTATTGAGTAATATTCATATTGATTTTCCTAGTTGTTAGTACTTCTTATTTTGAGAAGTTTTTCAAAAAATTTCAATTGCAAATTTTTGATTGGGGCTTTTACGGGGGCTTAATTATTTTCACTTCTTTATATATTCTAGATTTAATCCCTTTGTCAAAAGAGGAGCTGGGGCCAGGGAGATAGCTCAGGGTCAGGCAGATAGTTCAGGGTCAGGGAGATAGCTCAGTAGAATAAGCACTTACTTGGCAAGCACAGGGTCCTGAGTTCAATCCCTGGTACTGGAAAAAAAAAAAAAAAAAAAAGAAGAAGATCTGGGAAATTTGTCCCACTCTGTGAGTTGTCTCTACACTTTCTTGCATCCTTTGCTGTGCAGAAACATTTTACATGATGCTATCCCATTTGTTGGACATGATATTATTTCTTGTGCCACTGGGGTTCTACATAAAGCTCCTGCTTATGCCTATGTCTTTAGAAGTTTTACCTATTACATCTTCAGCAGATTGTGTTCACCTGTTTTTATGCCTAAGTCTTTGATCCATTTTGAGTTTATTTACTTATTTATTATGTTTTGGTACTGAGGATCAAACTCATGACCTTGCACTTGCCAGGTTGGCCCTGATGCTGCTAAACTATCTCCCCAGCCTTGATTTTATTTTAGTGCAAGGTGAGTCACTACGACTTTAGATTCATTGTTTTGCACTGAATGACAAGTTTTCTAGCACCATTTGTTAAAGAGGGTATTTTTTCTGCAGAACTTATTTTTGGCCCCTTTGTCAAAGATCAGATGGCTATTTTTGTGTCATCTAGTCCATTGCTCTACATGTCTGTTTTGTCCCACTATCATGCTGTTTTGATGACAGTGGTTTTGCAGTATAACTTGAAATCTGGGATTGTCATACCTCTAAATTTGCTTACTTAGGATTGCTTGAGGTATTGTGGTCTCTTCTGTTATGTATACATTTTAGGATTAGGTTTTTCTAGCTCTAGTGAAGAATATTGTTGATATTTAATTGAAAATGCATTAAGTATTTAATATTTAATATATTAAATATATATTTAATAAAACATTTAATAAAATGTATTTCATCTTTATATTTAATATTATATATTCAGTATATATAAATCATACATTAAATGTATGCAAAATATCATAACTATTTGGTAATAAGTCCTTATGACAATGTTGATTCTGCCAACCCAGGAATAGATGTCTTTCTATTTTCTAATCTTGTCTCCAGTCTCTTTCATCGGAGTACTATAATGTTCATTATAAAGGTTTTTAATTTCCTTGATTAGATTAATTCCTAGATATTATTTTTCAGGCCACAGAAAGTGGGATTGTTTTCCTGATTTCTTCCTTGATATGTTCATTGTTGTACAAAGATGCTTTTGATTTTTGTGTGTTGAATTTGTAATCCATAATTTTGCTGAATTTATTTATTAGCTCTAAGAGTCTTCTGTTGTAATTTTTGGAGTCATATGTAATAGATTATCTCATCTACAAATAAAGATAGTTTGAATTTTTCCTTTCCTATATACAGCACTATTTTTAAACTTTCTCTTTCCTGGCTGCTCTGGATAAAATTTTGAATATTACATTGAACAGGGGTGTTGACAGTAGACATTTTGGTCTTATTCCTAGTTTTAGAATGCTTTTTTTTCCCTTTAGTCTTTTTTCTTAAGTGGCTTTTGTTAGTTTGAAATGGTGCCTTACTGTGCCTCTTTTAATAAGTTTTTAATCATGAATTAGATATTGTACTTTATCCAAGGCATTTCCTGTATCTTTGAAATGATCATGTGATTTTTTTACCTTTACTACTAATTATGTGGCACATTAATTTATTGATGTAGGTATGTGGTACCATCCTTGCAACCCTGAGATGAAGCTGATTTGGTTATAATGTATGATCTTTTTAATGATTTTTTTGCATTATACTCTAAAGTATATTTTTGAGGATTTTTGCATCTATATTCATTAAGGATATTGGACTGTAGTTCTCTCTCTGTCTCTTTGTCTCTGTCTCTCTGTCTCTGTCTCTCTGTCTGTCTCTCTCTCTCTGTCTGTCTCTGTCTATCTGTCTCTCTCTCTGTCTCTCTCTCTTTCCCTCTCTGTCTCTGTCTCACTCTCTGTCTGTCTCGCTCCCTTTTTGGTTAAGGCCTTGTCTGGTTTTGTTATCACAGTAATGCTGACTTGGGAGAATGAGTTTGGCATCATTCCTTCCCTTATAATGTCATGGAAGAATTTGGGAAGTTAATTCCTCTTTGAAGTTCTGATACAACTCAGCTGGTGAATCAGTTGGGTCCTGGATTATGTTAGTTGGTAGCTTTTACTACTGCCTCCGTATTATTGCCTGCTATTGATCTATACAAGGTTTTTATATCTTCTCGGCTCAATTTTAGCAATTTATTTATGTCCAGGAATGTATTCATTCTTTTAGATTCTCCAAAATATTGGAATCTAATTTTTTGAAACAACTTCTTATAGTCTTCTGGATTTCAGTGGAGTTTATTCATAGATTTTGCTTTTTTCTTTCTAACTACATGGATATAAGTCTTTTCTTTCTTTTGGTAAGTTTGACTCAGGATTTATTGTTCTTATATTTCCTTTGAAATAACCAACATTCTGATACATTTATTCTTTCATTGTTTTGGGTTTTTTTTCTTTCATTACTTTGTAGTCCAACTTCATTAATTTTTCCTCTGATCTTAATGATTTCTTTCCTTCTATAAGTTTTGTATTGTTCTATTTTTTAGTCTATGGCTGTGAGATGTATCATTAGATTATTTATTTGGGATTGCTTTGTTCTTCTAATGTAGGCATTCATAGTAATAAACCTCCAAGAACCACTTTTCTAGTGTCCTATTGGTTTTCATATGTTGAACTCCTATTGTCATTTGATTCTAGAAATTTAATTTTTTCCCTGATATATTTTGTGACCCACTCATTATTTAAGATTATATTGTTTCACCTCAACGAGTTTGAATAGTTTCTGTGCTTTCTCATGATGTAAATTTCTATTTTCACCTCATAATGAGGTGAAAATAATGAGCTGACAGGATGCACAACATTATCTAAATTCCTTTGAATTTATTTAAAAATGTTTTACTACCTAAAATATAGTCTACTTTGGAGAAACTTCCATGAGCTCTTGAGAAGAATGTATTCTACGCTGTTTGATGCCATACTCTGGATATCTATCTGTTAAGTTCATTTGGTCAATGGCATGGTTCACTCTGATATTTCTTTGTTGAGTTTTTATTTGGTTGACCTGTGAGAGTGGGTTATTAAAGTCCTTCAGTGTAATTGTGTTGGTGTTATCTTTTTTTATATCAAGTAGTATTGTTTTATGAAATTGGATGTGCTGACATTTGCTGCATCTTTACTTACAATTGTTAGCTTTTTCTTTCTTTTGGTAATTTTGACTAAGGATATATTGATCTTATTTATTCTTTGAAATAACCAATACTCTGGTTCCTGTCTGGTTTTGGTATCAGAGTAATGCTGACTTGGGAGAATGAGTTTGGCACCATTCCTTCCCTTCTAATGTCATGGAAGAATTTGCGAAGTTAATTCCTCTTTGAAGTTCTGATACAACTCAGCTGGTGAATCGGTTGGGTCCTGGATTATGTTAGTTGGTAGCTTTTACTACTGCCTCAGTATTATTACCTGCTATCGGTCTATACAAGGTTTTTATATCTTCTAGGCTCAATTTTAGTGATTTATTTATGTCCAGGAACAACAACATTGTTTTGTTAGCTTTCTTTACACTTGTATTGCTCCCTGTACTGATGTGTAGTGACCTCCTTTGTCGTTTGGATAAGCTTGAAATTGAAGTACACTTTGTTTGAAAATCAGGAAACTGCACCTTCAGTGGCATTTGGAGGACCGTGAAAGAGTTCCTGCCCTCTTCTTGCTCCAGCGTCTTTTCCTTATCCCTAAATTCCACTGGCCACAGCCTCTGGGAGCCCTTGGGATTTTTCACTGTATTATGAATCAGTAAGCACCTGGTTCTGGGTCGCTAACCAGGACTATGGCCTTTGCTCTTCTCCTCTGTGAGTTCAGACTGTAAGATTTCACATGTAAGGGAGATCATGGCCTTCTCATGACCAGCTTATTTCACAGACCATACTGTCATCTAGGTTTGTCTGGGTGCAGAAGTACACACCTATAATACCAGGTAATCGGGAAGTGGAGGCAGGAGGATTGCAAGTTTAAGACTACCCTGGAAAATTCAGAAAGACCTTGACTCAAGATGAAAAGTGTTAGCTATGTTTTATGTAGCTCAATTTCTTTACAGTTTCATCAATAGTTCATTTTCAAAAATTCAAGATTTTTCCATTTGAGGGAAAAAGTGGTATCTTAGTGAAGTTTTTAATTTTTAGATGGAGCCCCTATACATTTTCTAAATGTGTATTTTTTCTGTATATTTCTATTCTTTTCCAAAACTCTTAATATATTGATAGGTAGTAGCCTTTTGCTATGCTTACATTTTTATTTTAATTATTCATAATTATTTGCATTAATATTTTACTTATATTTTATATATCTAAAAACTTTTACCTACACAGTAGTTTTTTAAATATTACATTTTAGGAAATGTATATTTCTTTCTTTTTTCTTTTTTTTGGTGGAACCAGTGATTGAACTCAGTCCCTTGTGCTTGCCAGGCAGGTACTTATTCTACTGAGCCATCTCCCTGGCCCATGTTTCTTTTTTCTTTTGGAAATATGTATTTCTCTGGTGAACTGAGATTTTTCTTGTTAAGAATTATAACAATGTATTGAATTTGTTTCATTTCCTGCATTGATAGCAAAGATTTTATCTGAATAATCTGCATAGTTACCTAAGTCTCATGTCATGTTAATTTTAGTTTTCTAGTGTTCATTTATTACAGTCAGGATTATTTTGTATTTTTGCCTTTACTTTTTATAATAACATTTCTTGGAAACTACTGCAGGTTCTTTGTCAAATAAATATGGCTATTAATATGTCATTGATCAATGAGTTAAGGAGCTGGCGGGGTGTGGGGCTTATCATTGGGTCAAGGCCAAAAAGCCCAATTCAGTCCCTATATATTCTACTCCTGGGTTGGTGGCTTAACCACATTTGAATGTGTTCATTTATAGGCTGAGGGTTTACCTAGGTTCTTTATTGCTAAAGAACCTCCTCAAAGGAAAATTATGTACTTAGCTATTTCAAAATATATAATGCTTAGCTATTTCAAAATATAAAATGATGTGATTTGTTGAGTGACATAGGAACTGACCAAAGTTCTAAAAGTTGAGCTGATAAAGACATGTAGCTCTTTAGAATGGAAAAAAATCAGTCTATAGTCTCATTATTCTTCCCTCAGATGGCTCAGCACTGTATTTGGAACTGTGTCTCTTTTGGGCAGTGGCCTATAAACATGGAACGTACACATAGAAGATTATCAGTTGATGACTCTAGATGTATAACTTTATAAAACGGGAAAGCTGAATGTCTTGTTTGAAGTGTGAGGGTATCTAAGACAACTCATAGTTATTTAAACAGAATTTTTTTTCTTCCTACATGAGCTATGATAATTCTACATGAAATATGTCTTGAATACAAATGTAAAGTTATTTTTCTTTGTTACTTTAGAGTGTGGAGGCAGACTGACTGGTACTTATGGCTCTATCCAATCACCGGGTTACCCTGGAAACTACCCCCCAGGAAGAGATTGCATCTGGAACATTGCAACCAGCCCTGAACTTCTGATAACATTTACTTTTGGGACTTTGAGCCTGGAGAACCATGAAAATTGTAGCAAAGATTATCTGGAGGTAAACAATTATATTGAGATAGAAGGTATCACTGCATCAGTAGGACCCATGGGACTGTAATTTGATGATGCCCACAGGTAATCTCAGTTTATTGGCAACAATTAGATATGTTTCTCAATAGGCACCAAATGTAAGTCTCGCTAAGCCCCTATCCTCAATGATGCCATATTGTTACTGCTTCCTTTGGGCTCCACTTGATTCTGAGAACAGACTGCCTTCCTTTCCTGGAAACCCAGTCCCCTGCAGAGGGGAGAGCAGAGTTCATTACAGACACCAAGAGCCGGTCATTTCTTCCAATACAGAGCCAAATCTTCAGTTGTCTATGTAAACCAGTAGGGTATCTCACAACTTGACTATAGTTATGAAAAAAAGAACAGTGATTGTGTTGAAATGAGTTGATAAGTGATGAATTGATGGAAAATATTGAAAATTATCATTAAGAAGAGAGGAGTCAACCTGGACTACTTCTCTCTTCCATTTATAAAAGATGAAAATATAGAAGAAAATGGGATAATTGTGCTAAAATACCTCCTACATATAGATACATAAAAAATGCTGCTCTCCATTTTTCTACTGAAAAGATCATTGAGGAGATTGAATTCTTAGGTCATTCCTGTATTTTTTTATCACCATAAATCTCAGTGCCTCTTACAATAATGCTGAAAATACAATAAGCTTTTCCACATCCAGTAGAGAAGAGTGGCGCAGCTGTCAAGCAGGGTCTCTACAAGTGGAAGTCATTAGTAATTTAGCGGTTGTAGTAATGGATTTGGAACATTTGGAAATGACTAGAAGATCTTCCTTTGTGGAAAAATTTAGAAAAAGAACATTTTCAATGTTAAAAGTAAAAAGTAAGTTACCTTGAAATTAATATTCAATAAATTACATTAAATTAAAATTAGAAGGTTTAGCCAGGCATAATGGTGCATTCCTATAAGCAAAGAACTTGGGAGGTTGAGGCAGGAGGACCATTGCAAGTCTAAGGCCAGCCTGGGATACAAAGTGAGCTCAAGACCAGCCTGAATTGCGTAGTGAGATTCCATCTCAAAAAGACAAAAATGAATAAATACAATAAGAGAACTTTTATTCCTATATATTAATTTTTGTATGCCTTATAATAGAAAGTATCAATCATTCTCGCAATATGTCTAAATAGCTATAATATTTCAAGGAATTAAATGGAAAAATTATGTTGCCCTATAATTTTGTTCAAGGGAAAGAGTAATTAGAATAGATGAAATTGACTATATTAAAATAATTTTTAGTTCATTGACTTTAAGGTGTTCTATATGATACAAATTTTCCAATTACAACAGAATTATAGAGAAGTCACCATGATTATTTAATATATTAAAGACCAAAGCCTAAAATGTTTCCAGGATCACAATGGCAGCATTGTGGTACTTCAAAGTTACTAAGTTATATTTTTAAATTCATTAAATTCATCAAACCATCATGTATACTGTGTCTAATGTGACAGCTCTTCATTCCTACCTGCACCCCTCCCAAATACCTAAAACACAATGTGAGTCAGTTGACCTCAGTGCTTTTCTTTCCTCTATTTTCTTTTCCTATATTCCTTTTATTTCTCTAGATCACTAGAAGTCCATCATTTGAAAGCAAATAGCTTAGGTAGGGGGAACTTATGAAAGAAAATATTCAGATTTGTAATCTCATGAGAGAAATTAAAAAATATGTTTGGTCCCAGAATTGAAGTTCAGATAGAGGACAAAACTTTTGGGGTGATGGGAAGACACCCTTTCCTGAACCCTAAATATGTGCTATCTATGTGAAGAAGAAACTCCCTAGAGCCATCATTTTTAAATGATAGATTTTTCCCAAAATTAATGTCTACCCTGACCTGCTATGTTAGAACTTGAACTCTGTGATGCTGATTGTTTACCCTTGTGCTTTAGATTCGGGATGGCCCTTTGCATCAGGACCCCATCCTTGAGAAATTCTGTACCACCCGCTCTGCTGCCCCACTCCAGACCACAGGCCCCTTTGCCAGAATTCATTTTCATTCTGACAACCAGATCAGTGACCGAGGCTTCCACATCACTTATCTAACTTCACCTTGTAAGTAATTTTCCATTTGGTAACTTCACGTGCACCTGAAGAGTTGTGCCATGCTTATAGCTGGTTTGTATTTTAAGGGATGCTGAAGGTAATAGACTCTTGTAGACTAATAATGTGCTTTTGCAGGTATTTCTCCCAGAGCTTTGGATTCTTTATCTTCTTAGTGTTTTATTATTAATAGGGCAATACCACTTGATTCCTAAATTATGGGACTCACTTCATGGCGGAAATATATGAGACACCTAAAATTAAATAATTTAGAACTTCACCGTTTGATGTTTTATTGTGTGATGGGTTATTCACATGAGTGATGCAGTCTGTCTGGAGAAGTGTCTGATTTCATCTTTGGATCAAGTCCACCCACGTAGGAGCTGACATCCTAGAATTGCATGGCTCTGGCCCCTTGGGTTGCACTTTCATTATTATCTATCATGTCTTCAACTTGTATGGATATCTGAAATCAAACAACAAACATATAACTTTCATTTTAGGGATAGAGAGAAGTTTGCTTATCATATCTATCATTGTTCTCATAACAAGAATTTATTAGAGGGGCCGGAGAGATAGCTCAGTAGAATAAGTGCTTGCCTGGCAAGCACAAGGGCCTGAGTTCAATCCCTGATTCTGCCTCCCCCCCACAAAAAAAAAAGATTTTATTAGAGAAATATCTGTTCAGTATCAGAAAAGCAATGAGGCACAGGTTCATTGGTCTCTTAACCTTTTACTTTGAACTCAGGCTCAATCCACAGCTGACCTTTTCTAACTCCCATGGCCCTTACAGCTACTGTTTATGCTTATCAGTCTGACTGTGGCCACATGTTGCTCTTCTGTATTTACCTTTTCTTTTACGTGCTTCATATGCATAGTTAGATACCTTCTTTTTCACATTATTTCATGAAATACCTTAAGTCTTTCTCAAATGAGGCAGCATTAATGTATTTCAAAACCAATTCCTAGAAGAGAACAGTGCAATGAAGTGTTATCACACATCACTATTATTTCAGATATTCTAGGTCATGGAGTGCAAATATATCATATGACAAATCTTACAACAGTGGTATAAAGCCTGTGTAGGGCTAATAAAGTAGGTGTATGACTCTGTGTGTGTGTGTGTGTGTGTGTGTGTGTGTATGCATGTATGTACAAATTTCAGAAGCTGGGTCACATGACCTTTTCTTTTCTTTTTTCTTCATTTTTGTCTGTAGCGGATCTGCATTGTGGAGGGAACTACACCAACCCAGAGGGTGAGCTCCTTCTTCCCAACTTGCCTGGGCCTTTGGCTCACAGCAGGCAATGCATTTACATCATAGAGCAGCCTCAGGGAGAGCTAATAGATCTCAACTTCACCCACGTGGAACTGGAAGGCCAGAGCAGCTGCTCCCACAGTTACATTGAGGTAAATTTGCTCCTTTAGTCTCAGCTGCCTTTAGATAATGTTCACCAAATCTTTTTATATACTGTAAGTTGAATAAGGCTCTTCGAAGGATTGTCAGCTTCACAGCATCCAGATCACCAGAGATTGTGTTAGAAATAACATTTCATACCCTATTCCAGACCCACCCAATCTGCACCTCTGGGGTTGGAGGCCACCAAGTCATTCTGATGCAGGGTACAGTTTAAGAACAACTGTCCCAGAGAGTAAGTATATGGTAAAATAGAAAGTGGTAAGGGAATCAGTGTAGGACAAAAGGAAAGCTGCCAAATTGTGTTGCTATGAGTGGTCATCAGCTGAGAAATGGATAAAAAAGATGTGATATTTTTATACAGTGGAGTATTACTCAGCTATAAAGAAAGCTAAACTTGAGGCTTTTATAAAGAAATGGATGCAAGAAGAGACCATATTTATAAGTGAAATAACTCAAATTCATGTGTTTCAAGATCCTGCTGTCTCCCTAGTGTAAGAAACTGAAAGAGCAAATAAAATCTGAAAGGTACTATAGATAATGTGAAAGAGAAAGGGACTGTTGAAAGGGAAGGAACAATTGGGGAGGGGGGAAGGAGAAAAGAAAGAAGGAAGGGGAAATATGTATATACTAAGATAGCTAGTATAATTGTACTACTAATTTCTATTGGTTCATTAAAAAGAATAGTTAATGCTTAAAATTTTCAATCAATTTTGCATGCCTATATGTGGTAATCTCACAACTACTTTGAAGAAAACAATATTTAATATAACCACCATTGTTAATTTCCTATCATCTTGTTTTGAAATTCTGTACCATATTTGGTTTTTTTTTTCTTCTTTTTATTTTCTTTAAAATTAAGAAGAAGTTAAAAAAAAAAAGTAAAATTAAGAAGTAAAGCCAAGACTAGAAACTCATTCAGGTGCTACAGTACAGATTATTACATTGAGCTCTATCACAAAGGTACATGTAAATAAGTCAAGTTACTAAGATTTACTAATAGGATTATGATTTCATAGACTATCTAAGATAATCCTCTTTGTGATGGTACTCAACCTAGACATGAAGGGATATGTCCAGGTAACCCAGCTAATTAGCTTTGCAGAGAGTCACACTGAAATCATCCAATACCTGTTATGTTAGAGGCTTGGCCTTTTTCTCCTTTAGTCCTGCATATTCTCCTTTATGCTGTTTTAGCTGTAAGCATACATGGTGGTTGTAATAGGGAAATAGCTGACTAAGTCAGATGCATTGCTTTTGCTTAATTAGTGGTCAAGCCACATCTTAAAGTGGGGAGTAGGAGATGTGAAACACTTCTGTTGGGCATATTTTACATAAAGTCAGAGAAGTATTTACCATTTTGTTTGGTTGTGTGAGTTAAGCCACTTTAGTTTTCTAGGAAAAATCTATATAACCTACTGACCTGTACTTAGAAGAAATAGCACTTTAACTTGCAATCTGTACATTGTTGAAAAAATATATTGACCATAGTACAACAACCTGATGTATTTTAAAATCTAGAATTGTTCTTTATTTCAAATGGTGAGATAATGAGTATACTCATTCAATTTAGGTTTTGAATAAAGTACATTAAGATGTATATTATGGAGTGATTGCTATTGAGCAATTGTAAATTGCTAATTGCTATAGGGCCATTTTAAATATTTTTAGGCAAACAAAACAAATTTTTAATACCAGCATTTTACTCCAAAAACAACAACAAAAACAAAAAGTAGTTCACAATTACAGAGTGCTTACTATGTGCCAGACAACATTCTAAGACTTTAAAATAGTATAATGAATTAAGTAGACAAGATTATTTACTGTTTACTGCTTACCTGGGTGGTGAGTGCTTTATGTAAGTGACTTCACTGCATCTTTGCAACAACCATTACGATTTCTACTTTAACTTCAGCAAACTGAAGCCCAGAGATACTGAGTTGTCCATGTGCTGTTACATGCCTAACAAACGATGAGATAGGGATTTGAATTTAGGAGTTTTAGTTGTACCAGTCTCTGATAAGAACAGAAATGTAAGAGTGAAAATTTGACTGTATGAGATGTCTTCCCTAGGAAGAATGTTCTCATGAATTTCCCAATGCCATGTCTGACTCTCTGGTCACAGCACTAAATATGAAGCCAGGCACAACTGTTTTCTCAGACATGTGAGAATCCTAATAATGGAAATCTGGGTACCTTCTGTTTTGTTCCTCATTGTGGTTCTAATGCCTATGGGGAGCTCCCATAGCATTTGGAATTGTCGCTCTTCTCTGGCTTTGCAGAACACTCTCACTGATTTCCTACGAGGCATTACACGAACTCCTCTATATAACCCTGAAAAGATCATAAAATCTGCGTTCAATGATTGAGTTTTGTAAACTAGAAGGGAAGAATATTTTGTAGGCATAATGGAATTGGAGTTAAATCATTTAAATTCGTATTTTAGTTCTATCGCTAGATGATTGTAGAACCTTGGACCATTCTTTATCTGAGTGCTTCAGCCGCTACTACAATAAGATGCACTATTTATCCTTCTTACCTTATGAGGGCAGAATCAAGGAAATGAGTGATAAAAGAAGGTTTCACATGAGAAACATTATATAAATACAAGGTTGTTCTAGCCCAAACCCTCAATTCTCACCTTGAACCTACCAGCTCAGGAAGCCAGGATTGCTTTGATGGCTGTCCATAAAGGAACCTTTCTTTTGATGTTCAAAGTTACCCACAAAGCTCTGGCCAAATTTGGGTTGTTTGTGAAAAAAGTAAAAGAACTCTTATTTAGAAGGACAGGTCACATAGAGTGGTTGGAGTAGTTGTACTTTTCTGTGATACCCTTGACTGATCTAAAAGAATACAATTTACCAATTTATAGAAATTAAGCACTAAAATAGGCTTTAGATATAACATTAGCATGTCTAATTTATAGTCTCAATTTTACAAGGAAAAAATGGAGTGCAACAATGTCAAAATCTAGTTGTTGTCAAAAAACAGCATTTCAATGTGTCTATACAAGATTTTAAATAAATGTACTGACTTAGATCAAAGTTATTATCATTAAATCATCTCCATTCATTGGGACAAGTGAACTCAGCTAATTTTAAAAATCTATCTACTTCTCTTCATGCTCTTTAGACAATGGTTGTGGAAAAAGTGATACAGGAATCAAATTTAAATGATATTAACATGACATATTATCGCTTAAACTAGTGGCTTACTTTTTAAAAGCTGTACTTAAAAATGAAATGTTTAAGCACAGAAGTAGAAGATAGCATTTTAGATATTATCGTGGCATCGGCATTAGATACTTTGACGATTTAAATGATTCTGCCATTTTCCAACTCCATTTGTGAGAGAAAGCAGACTACCCACAATTTTTTTTGCAATAAAGAGCACAATACGTTTCAATCACTTTATTAAATGATATTAAATAGTTTGTTTCAATTACTAAACACCACTTGGAATGGTGAAAACACAGACAGTATATTGTCATACTTGAATACTTTTCTTTAAAAATACAACTCCAAAAAAAACAACTCCAGTCCATCAATGTGTGTGTGTGTATATAATTTTTATTTTTTAAAATTTTATTTGTTTTATTAATTTTATTGAGAAGCAAGTAGCAATAAGAGTTTCAAAACCGATTAGTAGGACAGTTTCAATAATTAATTACATTGTGTATTGTTATCTTTGTAGTGGTTATTCATAGTACAAGATGTAGTCATGATATCCTGTCCAAACACTATCAGTACAAATCTTTCTTCTCACTGAATTAAGAGAAAGTAGCTGTATATCTATCCTAACTATTTTGTATAGACAGATACAAAATGGTCCTTCATATGCATTCCCTTTTTTTGTTTAGTTTTGTCAGAGATGGGTATTCCATTGCCATTTAAATACTGTAGGTGCATGAATTCAGCAAAATATATATAGCCTTAAAGGAAGAAGTGATATATTTTTTATAGTACTTATGATACTGAGCTCAGAACTAAAAGGCAGTCTAACAGAAACAAAGGGAAGTCTCCAGAGCTATGTGATGTGAGCGTTCCCACAATGTTAGAAAGAATGAAGAACCAGGGAAATTCCAGAGAGACATGAAAAAATGACAGGGATTATTCTGTTGAGGGAGAGTAGTGGCACTCCTAGAGACTCCTGAGTCATCTCCTCATGTGCTTTGAGATGTTTTGTTCCCATGCTAAGACAGCCTTTAGATGAAGATTAAGATATACACTACTGCCTCATGTGAAAAGAATTACTTTTCCACAATAAAAGAGCTCTAAGAGTGTTCACTTGAGGATAAATTTTGACTATAAAAGGTAATAGATTTGGTATTTTTCCAGAGCCTGTGTTACATATTTTCTTTTTCTTTTTAAAACAAGAAGCCTCATTTACATGCTATTTCTTAGCTTTGTATATCTCTATCAACTAAAGTTCCTACCTTTGAAAACATGGAAGATGTGATTTGGCTATTAAAGAATAAGTACAAGAACAAATCAACTTTTACTAATGTTTTTGTCACAGACTTTTTAAGTTGTATAGAACAGTTCAATCAATGTAACAGAAGAATCTTTCCAGGTTAAAAACCAGAACCTCTCATTACAATTTAATTAAGTGATGTAAGCCACCAGAATTCTGAGTAAAGGACACATAAGACAGTGATGAAAGTTTAATTTTTATTCCCAGGGATGCTAGATGTAGTCTGAATAATAAATTTCACAAGCCTATATGATAAGGCCAAAGCTTGAGGTAGAGTATGGTGGGAAATAAATAGAATTGTTTGATTCACCAAGCTCTCATGGTCCATCTTCAGCCGCTACCCCAACCCCACTCAGGGAAATGGAAAGGGAGAGGCTGGGGGAGGGGAGAGGCAATGCACACCTTCTATAGAAATAGGAAGGGTCTGGTGAGACTCTCCATAGACACGGAAAACAACACAAATGAAGGGCTAGAAAAGATGAGAAATGCAACTAGCATGATAGGACGGAGTAAGTTATAT